GCTTGTAGTTGAATATTCGTAATATGTTGATGCTCTGTAATGTTCGTAATGTTTGTAATTAAGTTTCCGTATGTATATGTATGTGTGCGTGTGTGATGTTTTCATAGCGTCCGTCCGCAAAGGGTCGAAACAGCTACATTTTAGTAAGCGAGAGAAATCCAAAAGAGAGGAAGAATGAAATTGTGTCTGGTATTTATAATCAACGTAATCACGTGATCGGCTCCGGAAAGCATTTCTGATTTTTGGCGGGAAAATGGTTTTGAATAGTGCGTAAACGTAGTACGGACGTAGGCGAGCACATGATTTTAATATTAACTGACCAATGAGAAGTGAGAAAAATATCAAGGCTCTGTGATCCACTTATTTGCACAGATTTGCACAAAAATTGACATTGATAGAAAAGTGGTAGCAGGATGCTAAAAGTCTAGTTCACTTCCTAAAATAGTCCCTAAAGAAATGGTGAGTTTTGGTCACTCCCTAATAAAAGATGACTCTGACGCCAAAATAAATTGGTCCACTTTCTTTTTCTTATAAGCAAAATATTCGCTTTATATTTTTGGTATGCTTGACAGTAGATCTTTTTTTTTTTACTCAAGTTTAATATTAAAATTTCGGCTGATATATTGATTAGGAAGACCCTAAATTTATTTTGAGTTGTTGGGCTTCATGTCTACCTTTATTACTACACTTATATAGCGGAAATTCAAATCTTAACCCAATTTTAATCTTTTTCCTTTTAGTTTGTTTTCTGGGTTCATCCTCCCACCACATCATTTAATTAATCATGAAATTTTCATATGAACGGACTTTATGGACAATGAAATGAAATTTTACATCATGGGATTTTCCGTAGGTCCACTGCGAATTATGGTATATGCAGGATTGAGTGGCGGTGGATGAGTCGTTGTGGTTAATGGACAAATTGTAATGAATGAATGGGTCGTGATTCTGATTAACTAGGACTAGGATAGCTAATGAAGACCACTCTCTCTCTATCTCTCCCTTCGGCCTTGTGCCACAATTTTGTATTTTTTACGAAATAAATAATCTTGATCTTTTTAGTTAGTCTTTATCCACGGGACCCATTTAGTGTCTTGGGATCAAACAAGATACATATGTCAGTATTTTTCTTCTTTTTTTTTCTTACTCTATTATTCTTAATTTGCTTATCGCCTACTTGCCAACAAGGTAAATAATATTTCTTCTTACTTTAAATTCACTAAAGTTTTTTTTTTTTTTTTTTTTTTTGTAAATTGCAAATTTACTTTTTAACACTTTCCTTTCTGGTAATGTGAAAATTTTCTTAGCTTTTTTTCAAAATCTTACTTCTTTACTCTTAATGTATTTAGTAGTAAATCTATGCAGTTCCGTAATTCCTCATGTATAATACACCTTCATCCATAAAACGCGCACCTAAAATTGTGCTGAAAGTGTGGGAAAATGCTTCTACTCATGTATAATACGCACACTTTGTTTGGTAATCAAAGCCTATATAAATTGTACCTCTCCAATTTCATTATGGCCAGTGTTTTCTACTCTTATTTAAAAAATAGTTTTAAACAGAGAATAACATCATTCTAATTTAGTTTTATGATAATTCTTATTCTATTTTACGGCAATTTTTTAAAGATTTTTTGTAGCTGTGCATAATACGCACCCCTGATTTTGCTTATCATTTTTTTAGAAAAAAATGTGTATTATACATGGGGAATTATGGTAATAGAAAAAAAAAACACAGCAAACGTCAGGTTATTTTTAATAAAAATTAATTTTATATATTCATTTAAAGTTTTATAAAAATCTGAACAATAAATTTTTAATGAATATATATATATATGTGTGTGTGTGTGTGTGTGTGTGTGTGTGTGTGTGTGTGTGTCGTAATTCCCCATGTATAATACACCTTCATCCATAATATGCACCCCTAAAATTGTGTTGAAAGTGTGGGAAAATGCTTCTACTCACACATAATACGCACCCCATGTTTGGTAATCAAACCCTATAAATTGTACTTCTCCAATTTCATTACGGCCAGTGATTTCTACTCTTATTAAAATGTTTTTAAACATAGAATATCATTCTAGTTTAGTTTTATGATAATTCTTATTTTATTTTACATTTGTAAGTATTGTTAGGTACATATGATTGTATTTGACATCCTTATGGGGTCGCAATCGCCAAATGTTAGTGTCAAATTGTCGTATGTTTATGGTGAGTAGTCATTTCGCAACTGAAATCGACCTATGAAACGGCAATTTTTAAAAGATTTTTTGTAGCTGTGCATAATACGCACCCCTAATTTTGCTTATTATTTTTTAAAAAAAATATGCGCTATGAAAACATCATCCACATACACGTACGTACGGAACATTCACAAATACGATTTCACTCAAACACACTTCCATTCACTCTTTCAACTTCAAGTTATAAAATTCTTTCAACTCTCTCACAGTGAAACCAAAAAAAAAAAAAAAAAAAAAAAAAAAACTCAACATCACTGCCACGCTAAATAAATTTAACTTGGATATTCCATTTTCTTTTCTAATTCTTAATCAGCAAAAAAATAAATACTTCAAAAAGAGTCTTCTGAAGTTACAAGTTTACTGAACATATTTTCAGGTTTTCAGGATTTAATTCAAAGAAATTTTCTCACTGAGGTCTAATTCAACGGAATTTACTCTTTGGTGAAAATTTTCTTTAGCGGCAAGATTTATTGTATTTATTTTCAGAAATTGGGTTCTGGTCGAATGGGAGATCAAACGAAGACTGAGTCGCGATGGTGACGCCGAGAGGGACCTAGAGTGGATAGTAAAGAGGTCGAGGTGTTATAAATCACGGTGGTGACGTCAGGAGCCCGTTGGTATCGAAGCTGGTTTGTCGACCACATTCTGTGCGTGAAGAGTCGGGTGATATTAGTGAAGCATGGGCGAGATCACGACGTGGTAACGACAGAGGCGATCATGGCGACAGGTGGTCACTCGTCCTGCTATTGAGCCGGCCGTTTACGAGGTAAAGCAAATCTGGTGAACGGTCATCTTTTTTTCGATGGGAACGTTCGCCGTCGGTTATTGCATGTTTGCGGGGACGGGGGGGGGGACTTAGATCGAATGTCATGCTCGGAGCTCCTGCGCAGAAAACGGCCTTTTTGTGTGTTTGGTTTTGTTAGCGCTCACATCCAACCAACATGTAGTGTGAATCAGAAAGAGTTCTAATTGCAGTGAAGTATAATAGAAGCTTACCACTACAGCTTCAACTGGTAAAATGTGAGTCGTATCTATTTCCTCAGTCACCATTTGATCCTTCATTATGACTCAGGCTTGGTACAATAACCAACGAAAGTCGTTTCTTCCATCCTGGAGTAGACGTGCAAGTTGCATGACGGGATTTGACATTCCTGTCACGACCGTATATGCCAATCCTTGCTTGGATAATCCCCCGAATAGTCCTGGAGGCTTCTTAAAATCTGCTAACAAGATGTCGACGGACTCGCTCATGCGTAGTCGCTGTTTCAGAAAACAAATTGTTTGTAGACCAAGAAACAGTATGTCGCAAACAAAAACAATCCGCAGAGCTTGTTTTATCATGTGACGATCTACATCACACACATACATACATACATACTTACACACATACAAATCATACAACGACAAGCATTCATTGGATAATAAATCAACACTACCTTGTAATAGACAATTTACAAATCGCAGCAATGCGACAATTTTGTAATCGTTCTATTTTCATGTAGTCGATTTTGCGCACTTTTGGGAGAAACGGATCCCAGAAACTTTTTTTGAGTCTCCCAAAATTCGCTCGCTGATTGGTCAATGCCAACCAATCAGATTGTCTGCACGTGAACAATTCTTCCCGCGCAGCAATTCAGAACCGATGATCACCTATATAAGCAAGAAATATTCTTAGTGAGATTTCAGCTGCCAAACGAATCCACGACAGTTGAAACCATGCGCCAATCTCCTCAATCACACCACCACTCACATGCTGAATATTCCTTACACTCACATAATCTTTCCCTTGCACAACAAAACTGTTGAAAACATTTATTACCAGAAACTATCACAAACTTTCTTTCTTTCAGTGAACTTTGGAATACAAATAATAGTTAAAGAGAGACAACTCTTGTTTTACTCAATGCATGCCTTCTTTAACATCCCTGTTTGTACATCATGTTTAAATACATATTTTATGTGTGATGTCTTTGGCTTATCCTTTCTTCACCTCAGTTTGGTTTCCTAATCTAAGTTAAAAACTAATGTGGTGAAGTCCGCCACAATCTGCTCGGTATAAGATTTTTACTCCCTATTGTGCTGTGATGCTAAACACTCTACCGTTTTAATCAAAAAGGAAGAACTCGTTTAATTTTCCTTATCCCACAGAAATCACAGACAAGTTCCGCTTTTTTAATCCGGTGTAACTGGATTGCCTAGTCACCGAGCCATCAAACTCGGGTATAAGCTTAATGTCAGATGTTTATAATATTCCCTCAATAGCTTCTAGTTGAAAAAAGTTCTAGAAGTAGAGAAAAAAAACAAAGGTCGAAAGTCGCAAATCTGTATTTCGTATGTCACAAAAGTCAAAAGCGTTCTTCCTATACCACAACGAACAACAACAAAAAACAACAATTTCAAAGATATATTTACTTAGTTATTTATTATTATTACTACATATTTATTTTCGTGAAGTGTCCGCGAAACCCGACAAAAAAGAGGGGTGAAGACGAAAATAAATTAAAAAAACACAAAAAAAAAAAAACAAGACAGTTGTCGCGCGAGGCACTCGGCTTAAAAGGTAAGTCGGCAAGTACATGACTGGCTGAGATGAGGTAAAGCAAAAATTTATATGACGTTCTCTGTGTCAATAGAGAAGTTATACACACCTTTCTTTTTCGCCAGCAGATAACACACGCGACATGTTGTCATTTGTTTTGATAACTGAAGTCACCATTTTCTTCGGTACAGTTTATTCGTTTCAGGGTCTGTCTATTAATGGTCTTCGTCCTTCGTCTTGCGTCAAGTATAATTTTAGCGAAGCATTTATTTTTTAATGCATTTGTTGGAAATAAGTTTGGACAAAGGTAAGTTAATTAATTTGATCCCCTAATTTAAGCTTTCAGATTACTTTATCCTTGTAGTCGATTTGAATAAGAATAATTTAATGATCAAAGTATGTTAAATTCAATTCACGTTGCAAACTTTTCGGAAAAGACTTCCAAAATTTCAAGCACTTGTTTTAATAAAACTTAAATCGCGTGTTTTTGTTTTTCTTTATTGAGTGTTTTTTTTTTTTTTATTTTCGTGAATATTATTTTTGATAATTTAATTTACGAATATTTTAATTGTAATTATGGGATTTATTTATATTTATGTTCCAGCTGGTAGCATTTATTTCAAGTTTTTAAAGTTTAATTAAAAGATCATTTCATTTTTTGTTTGTTGATGACATCAAATTTGTTGAGTTTCAGCCCCTGGAAAATATTTCAAAATTTGAATAAAAAAAGAAAAGGGTTTTTAATTATTTTTATTAAACCATCATTTTTCCGCATGACGACGAAAATATTGCGCTTTGGTTTTATTTTTATATTTTGGAACATTGTATCGTCAGACATTTATAAACGTTTTTCGAACATAAGGTTTGTAATTCAGTATTTTATTTAAAATTGGTTTCAACACAAATCGGTGAAAAATATTTGACAAATAATTCTTATTATGTTTTTAAAAAGTTTTGTTGAATTTTTTTCGGTAGTTTTTTTTTTCATTTTATTATTATTATTATTATTGGTTAGCATTTTTGTCTTTTTCTTTTCATCCGCAAAGATATGAGAAAAGTAAAAGTCCGATAAGAACTTGACCCTTTTTAAAAATAAATACAATAATAATGGGAATTTTTATGGAATCAAATGACAAAATAATAGAAAAACATGTTTTTAAGGATTACTTTTAAATTCCTTTTACTTATTTTATTCCTTCATTTCTTCCCACTTTTTGTTCTCTTTTTCTTTCATTAATCTTCGAAAAAAAAACTGAATTTCACTAAAAAATGGAAGAATTGACTGGAAATTAAATCCGCGGACAAAAAAACAAACAAACAAAAAAGCACGGTACTTCTTTGAAATAATGGTCCCAATTGGAATGCGGAGACATCTGTTAAAACATTTGTTCATTACAGATGAATGAAGTTATTTTATTCTTTGATAATATTTTTATCAAATAGCAAATATGGTCGCAAATATTTTCACCAGAGATGGGTAAAAATAAAATAAATAATTTAATTGTCAACTTAACAATTTATTTTTTCAGAAAGTGTTAGTTACAATGGTGAAATGCATGCTTTTTTTTTTTTTTAATTAATGCATTATTGGTCTAGAAAATAAGGGGAAAAAATTCAAAAGATTTCACAATTGTGGAAAATAAGCTAATTATAGTGCAACATAGCAATATTTAAGAAATAAAAGTGCCACCCAACAACAGAATATTGCCAAAAGCATTCCTTTTTGGTCATATTGGTGCCACAATATGAATATATCTTCAGATTATTTATCTACACAATATGACTAAATTCCCCATTATTAGCAGATGAATGTCTAATAATGAAACTGAGCAAATCTTGAAACGATCATATCACTACTATGGGCTTTGCTAAATCATTGAACCATTTCTTACAGCAGTTGTTGTAACTGGGATTTGAAGTGACCACAAATACAATGCCATGACTAAATTTGGCAGAAAGCTATAGTCATGCACAATAACATGCTGTTCTGAGAGTGAGATCTGCATTCAAATTTTCCAGATCTTCAATTACATTTGCTACATCAAGGAATTTCATAGCAAAGATTCACCTTTTCTTATAAGAATTCTTTCTCAACATTAAAAGTGGCCCTATGCTGAAGCATTTCACTTAATTTTATAATATGTCATATTTTCATGTATATAGCAATAATATATACAAATCAATGGAAACAGGGCAACCCTTTATGAACATTGGGACAAAAATAAGATTTACTAACACTGGCGTCAGATTTAACAAATTCAATATATTTTTGCCCATTTTAAATCGTTCTTTTGTTCATCTGTGACAAAAATGCTTGGGACCATGCTTGCTGCTGTTTTTCATCCGTTCCAAACCTGAATGTCATCATTAAGTCACTGCAGAGCTGAGAACCTGACTAGATCCCTCTCTCTGTCTCAGATGCTTCCAATGTTTCAGTCTCTGAGAATGATCTTCCATCCTGCATTTCTTTTGCCTAACCATTTCAACTTTGTCATCTTGATGGTGATTAAGATCTGTTTCATGTCTGATGGTGTCTCGCACTGTGTCATTTGTAATGCAGACTGTGTAGAAAAGGCCGAGGATAGGTCTGTAACATCTCATTTCTACGGCTTTAGATTCTTCGTTGTAATTTCTGCTGTTAATGTTCAAGATTCTCAGGTGTACAGGAATATTGAAAAGGCCAGTGCACACAAGTTTTATTTCAGGCAGATGTCTTTGTTTTTCCAGATTGTTCTTAGTTTTGTTACAGCTGACATTGTTTGCCTTCCTCTTCATCTGTAATGAAAAAAAATGCTACATGTCACCACATTCCACTTAGGGACATTCTTTCTTACAAAATAAAAAATACTGACATAATAATCAAAAATTAAGATAAGTCTTGGATTTCAACAATTTCTAATGAGAAATATACTCATTATTTTCATTATTCAAACTATTGTTCTCATCTTTGTCGCCATGTTTATTACAACGTTTCAGCCGTTGTATGCTCCAGCCTTCTTCAGGTGGTTGAAATGTCAAACTGAACCCTTTATTTCGCTCACTGGGGTAGACTGTTCTAGTTCCACGTGCCATGTTTAATGGATGTCAGTTATCAGTTATCTCCTATTAATTTCCCTCTGAAAGTTCTCCACTGCCTTAGCTGGGTATTGAACTCACACTCTTTGGGTCCTGTCACTGGATCTAACTAATACCTTTATCCACTGAGCCAAAGAGTGTGTGTTCAATACCCGGCTAAGGCAGCGGAGAACTTTCAGAGGAAAATTCAAGGGAGAAAACTGATAACTGACATCCATTAAACATGGCACGTGGAACTAGAACAGTCTAACCCCAGTGAACGGAATAATGGGATCATTTCGACATTCCAACCACCTTAATGGTGACAAAGATGAGGACAATAGTCCGAATAATGTAAATAATGTACATAATACCTCATCTCAGAAATATAGACAGATACTCAGCTGAATTTATTTTATGAAATTTTCAACAGGTAAATTCTCTGATGCAAACAATTTTTGTTTTAATAAGAATAGTTTTGCCTATTGCCCTGTTTACACTTTTTCTCCGTCTTTTGAACAGGTGTAGAGGTTTAACCCTTGTTTCCTGTTTCGGATTAGGTTTCCGGTTCCTCTAAAGTTTTCTCTTTCATTCCCAGTAATCCATTGCACCTTAGTGGCATTATTGCTTTGTTTGGGATGAAATGCTTTAAAAAAAATACTTGGAAAAATTTTGTTTAACTTGATAAAAAAAGTATAAAGTTTAACATGTTAAATATTGCTTATTGTTGTTTTATTTGTTACATTTAGAAAAATATTCATGTGAAAAAATAAATTTTATTTTTTTTTTTTTTAAATTAATTTCAATTTTTTTTCAACTTGTGTGATATAATATATTATTAAATAATAATTTGATGTGATGAATTTTGCATGTATGGAAGTGCATAAGCATCATTAGCTACTTCATCTTGGATCATTTACCATTTTGCTAACACTACTGATGAGATGTTTGATCAACTTATAATAAGCTAGATGGAGAAAAAGTAAAAATATCTTACTACTCGATACAGAGTTAATATTTTTTAAATATTAGCTCTGTGCAAGTTTCTCATGTTTTTATTTTTAATGTTTTCTACTGTCACAAGTTTTCAAAATAATAGATTCTTACAAACTTTTGCAAGCAATTAATAATTTTCTTTCTTCTCTTCATAAAAGTACTGACAGTTTTGTTTTGCAGGAGTGAATTTTAACTTGTGTTATTTTAAAATGTTGGTACAACTTCTGGTGGTTGTAACTAAAATATGACGTTCATGAAAAAGTAGTTGTTTGTTTTAACATTCCTACTATAGCAGAGGGAAGTGTTCACTTGCAATTTATTATGTCTCATTGATCAATACATAAGAAATAAGTTCCTTTCCCACATTTTTGTTGTTGACAAATTAAGAACTCTCATTTTATTACTTTTTTTTTTTTAATTATGGTATTTTAACCAGAATTAATTTTTTTCATTTTTAGTTGAGAAATTATTAAATTTATTATTTTTGAGGCTCTGATTTTTGGGAAGATTTCTGTCAAAAAATTTTCAAATTTCATTTTCAGTAAATGACAAAATCCACTGACTGAGAATTTAATATGTCAGTGTTGTACAAAACTTGCATTAAAATTTAAGCTCATTTTTCCACCAACTGTTAGCATGAAATGATTTTGAGCCAAAGGAAGAACAAAGAGTATAGTGTCAGTGATTAATAGATCCTGATTTTTCAGAAATACAATGGAAAATGTCCTCACAGGTGGACAAATGGGGAAAGAGAGTGAGACCTGCTCCATGCACAAAGTGGCCCTAAAAGTATCCCTGATATATTTGGGCTGTCCTTACTCACTGTCTGCAAGAGAGTGAACATGGACAACAGCATCTAGGGGAAGATGGCTAATGACAGGGTTAAGAAGCAGAATCAGAACTTTATTAACACCTTTAAGACCAAAATTTGAAAATGCCTGAACATCATCCATGCTGACTTAAAAGTAGACTTTAAGACCATCAAAATGGCAGTGCATGATGACCTATGCTTTAAGGATCAGAACTCCAAACATCCCCACATGCTATGGAGTCTCAGAGGCTGGAAAGGAGCAAGAAACTGAACCCACTGTTAAAGTATTTTCTAGTGAGAAAAACTTCACAATAGATGCTATCTTGAACTGCCAAAATGACTGGTACCTCATGGAGTCAACAGTTGATGTGCTGGTTACTTTCAGGACCAAATATTCAGCCCAGGTTATAGTCTGGGTGCTGTGGCTTCTGACAAGAAAAATGATT